GAAAGGCAGCAGCGGTAGCAACTAGATCCAGCATTGGATAGCACCGTCCCATCTAGGCCGAAAAGCAGCGTGGGTTCCACGGGGTCCTAGCTAATGATACACTATTGGCTAGATACCCCGTGGATGATATTGAAGCTACGACACCTTGTGAGCTACGCATGAAACTGAAGAACATATCTATGAAGGTGGCGATCGGCTATGCTTTACCAAATCCCCTAGAAGCAACCTTCCATGGCAATCCGATTCCAGCTGGCTATGCTCGTGGCGGGGTGGGTGGAGTGATGTCAGGATATGACACACTAGAGCTTAACATTCTTGGAGGTCAACAGGAGCGCACACTGGGAGACGCCATACGTGCTATCATTCTATGGAGAAAGGATTGCATCGTCTTTCCAAGGCCACTGACTCCTCCGCCAAGTCCGGCGCGTCAGCCGACTTCTCCTCCAAGTCCTCCGTGTCAGCCGACTCCAACCCACCCCGAGACGGAGCACGAAACTAGTCCGCCACCGCGTCAGCCGACTCCACCCCCACCCCAATACGGACCCCATCAGCGCGAGTTCGCCATACCGATCTCGGGCGCGTCAGCCTTCCCCAAAGCGGAAGAGAGCACCAAGCAAGAAAGCCTCTCCTCCTGCCAAAAAGAAGTTGTCTTACGACATGACCATCGAGGAAATCAATGCCAAAGTGGATACCCAAGTGAAGGCCTTTTTGGCGAAGAAACCACCCCCGCCGCCAAAGGAGAAACTGCATGAGGAAGTCATACAACACTTTCTAGATATGGCTCAACCGGCTGTGAAGAGAACGGACTCAAACTATGTGCGCTCTATTAAGAAGTCATATCATGCACAAAAAGATAAGGAGTCGAGCTCGAGCCAAGTAGGTAGTAATAAAAGCAGGAAAACTGTTTCCCAGCTGGGAGAGCAGGCAGTGCAATCGATCCATCCGCTCATTGTACAATCACATGTGAGTACTGCCGATCAGCCGATAATAACCGACGCTGATAGAGAGATGGCTAGAGAGGCCGGTGTCACTGTTGAACAACTCCTAGGCATCGAGGAACTCCCCAAGATTCAAGAGGAGGAAGTAGCATGAAAATATGTCCCCAGCCAACCTCTGGTCAGGCCTAAGGAGGTCCCGCTTCTATCAACGAAAATGCGCAGATTGCATGACCGGTACCTGAGAGAAATACAGAATGGGCGACAAAGCCTCATGGTGAAAGTCAAGGCAGAGCTTTACTTCCATGAAAAAGATTTGTGGGTTGAGTTTCAAGAAATGCTTCAGTTATTCAATCAAGACGCACTCGACAAATCTCTCGTCAGTTGCTATTGTTTGTAAGTGATTTCTTTCTGTAATTTAAGTCTCTAGCTGTGCTCGTTCATTACCTGTAATTATCCTCACTATATTCTTTTATGGGGTATTATGCAGAATGAAGATTTATGAAATAAAAAGAGATAGCGTCTATGGTATTGGGTTCATTGACCCAAATACCGTTAATGAAGGTGTGTGGAAAATCAACACAAAAGACATAGAGAAGCTTGCTACAGTTTCCAAAGCAACTAAATACCCAACAATAAATACTACTTCCTTACAACTTCGGATGAGTGTTACTGTCTTGTACTACAAATTCTATTTTGCTTACTAGATGTTAATAAGTGTAGTTGATGAGTTATGCACATGCCCGCTTATACAAACATGTGCGCACACAGTTTCCACTGGATCTTGCTAATCATTGAAGTTGACGAGGGAAAAGTTCAAGTACGGGACTCACTACCTACAGAACCTAAAGAATACTTAAACGTGAAGATGATGCTCGACAGGTAATTTCAATCATTATCATACTATGTCGGCGTCTTTAGTTTACTTCCTGATATCAACTAATTAATAACTCATTTATTTATTTTCTTTACCGGGCAGGGTTTGGCAAAAGTTCATCAAAGAGGTTGTCGGTCCATGGAAACCAGTGCTGAAATGGGTGCGATCCAGGGTAATTAAGTAGTACTAGCCACGTCTGCGCATCTCTTTAATTCTATTTTCGTAAATTGCATGAGGCATACGTCGGGGAATAATTTATGTGTGTATTACATCTGCGAGAACATTCGCTTTATGACCGAAAGGAGCAAAGATGGAAGAAATCTTTTTGTACATAAACACAATTCACAATTCTTTTTATCATGATCTAATATATATACATACAACTAATATATTCATATTCATCTCCTTCTTTAATGAAGATGCAAGAGATGCGGGATAAGCTCCTATCAACGGACGGCATACGAGCACTTCAAGAGGAAATGATGGAATTTTTGCTTGAGCAGGTCATAGGTCCCGAAGGAGAATGTCATTTCACCTAATGCCTGCATGTAATGATCTGCAAATTGTAGGAGAAATTATATATACCAAATTGTATATATATATATATATATATATGTGTGTGTGTGTGTGTATGTGTGTGTGTGTGTGTGTGTGTGTGTGTGTGTTTGTGTGTGTGTGTGTGTGTGGTTGTACGAGAAATTCTATGATACATGATTGGTTCTACGAGATATTCTATTTATATATGCATAACATGTACAGTATGTAGTACCGTAAAATATGTTTGAAATGAAAAAGAATTAAATGGAAACACAAAATTAAAAAGGAAATAAACCCTTCAACCCCTAAAACTTTTAGTCTCGGTCGGTGTCACCAACCGGGAATAAAGGACCCCCATCGCCCGGCACGCGCTCATGCCACGTGGTGGGCATTTAGTCCTGGGTCGTGGCCAACCGGAACTAAAGGGTGAGGGCCTTTAGTCCCGACTTGTTAGTCCCAGTTGGTGAACCGGGACTAATGGCCAAAATGGCTAACAAGGTTTAAGGGCAGTGGCGGAGGTACACGAGAAATTGGGGTGGGAGAGGGGCATAAAATATGAATGCTTAGGGCGAGCAAATAACTCATTTGGTTAGGGAGCGAAATGGCACTTCGGATGTTAGATTTGACTTCAAGTTTGACCAAGTCTATAGAAAACAATATGAACATTTATAGTTACAAATATATACGATGTGATACTATATTCAATGATGAATCTAATGGTTTTGATTTGGTATTGTAGGTGTTAATATCTTTATCTATAAACTTTGGTCAACGTTTATAAATTTTGACTTCAGACAAAGCTAATATGCGAAGTAAATAAAGTGAAGGGGGTATATATTGAGATTTGTCGACTAAAAATAAACTAGTTTGACAATTGTTAGATTCCATGTTTTTTTTGGTATATTTGTGCTAAATTATTTAACTTGAAACGGTCACTTCTACTCTTTTCCAAATAAAAGCCATCCATCCTAGGGAAAGCTTGTAGAACTACCGACCTACTTTAGGAAATCTAAGCATTAGTCAAAATTAGCACAGACCTTCGCTACCTAACAAGATACTTCACGAAATCAATCGCGTCAGCGATGACTGGTCTTGCCAGGAATTAATCAACCACATATGCACGCATGCCACGAGACGAAGGGTTCGGCGTTACTGATAGAAATCCCACTGTACGCTGTACAGCAACCAAGTGTCCCACTGTACAGCAAACAAGTGTTCCATCTTGAATTGATCACGTGTGCTTGCGCCTTGAATGGTTTGAAACGCTTGCTCAGTCAGATTGGTTTCAGAATGACGAATTGATCGAACACGGTTTAACCTTTTTCTTTTCTTTTACTACACGTACATGCCATGATAACATATGTACAGTAGGTTTTTTTTTTCGAGTTGATACCATATGTACTTGTACTTTAAAGAATGGTCTGAACTCTACTTTTTGGATCCAGGCTGTTCGATTTCTGTAGCTTTGCTAGCAGCTCCCGTAGGAATAAATGAAATAACCAAAGTAGTCGACCTATAGCTGATTTTCACGGTACTGGTAATCCTGCCGGTGCAAAGCACAACTCAAACATAAATTGCATAAATGATAACGCAAATTTAAAAGAAGCAGAACACAATCATATGGGTGACCAAACATATGAAGACCTTCAGACTGGCTGAATCTGATAGTAAACTTGTACTGCAGAATTTTCAGATTACTTGTTAAAATAAACCAACAGACTGATATGATTACAAACATCGTTGGCACAGAGGTGAAATACACTATGATCTCATCCATAAGTCCTTGTTGTATTTTGAACCAGTCTTTGACCATAAATTTAACTAGCAACAAATTATACACCATAAAATTTATACCATTTGAGTCATATTTATAAAAAATTCTGAAAAGTGTTATTTCTAATACTTCCTCCATTCCCTTATATAAAGCCACTATGAAAAGTAGTACATAACATTTATGCTTTACTAGTTAAATTTATGATCAAAGTTCGATACAAAATAGCAGGGACTAATAAATCGTGACAAAAGGAGAAAGGATTTTTTTTTCTTCTATGGTGACGAAAATGGTCCATGTATGTACTATCTCCGTCCTGGTTTATTGGCCCCCCTTGCATTTTGTGCCAAAATTTGATCTTAAATTTAACTACTAAAATAATTTATGCAAATCCAACAAAATAATTTTTGATGACATGCATTATTATTTTTTTAGTTAATTCTATGGTCAAAAATTAAGAACCAATAAACCAAAACGGAGATAGTAGCAGACTAGCAGCCGACTGGTTGGCAATTTATGACCGTTACCATAACGGGGGCTGCTGGTAGAGCGTTCATCTGGACCCGATCGAATTGAATAGTCGAGTTGACCAGCAGACTCGTGTCGCGGGCGCTCGACCTCGCATCCCTACCAACCCATGCACTTTCCTAGCAGCGTACGATAAACGCACGCGACCGGGACTCATCCAACGCCCATCCCGCCACGCCGTTTCCCGCATCCAACTGGTATATATATATACCTTCGCCTATGTACTTCATGCTCCAAACCAAACCAACACAGCTAATTACTACAACCTCTACGCTGCTTCTTCTTGCTCTCCGGCAGCAAAGCTAGCTACCTCCACTTCATTGATCAAGCCACACAGTCTTGCTCCTAAAAAATGGGCAGCTTGGACACCAACCCAACGACCTTCTCCGCCTTCCCCAACGACAAGGCGGCAGCGTTCGAGCCGCTAAACCCGGAAGATGTTCGTGCATACCTCCACAAGGCCGTCGACTTCATCTCCGACTACTACACCAATGTCGAGTCCATGCCCGTTCTTCCTAACGTGAAGCCGGGATACCTGCAGGACGAGCTCAGCGCGTCCCCGCCGACCTACTCGGCGCCGTTCGATGTCACCATGAAGGAGCTTAGGACCTCCGTTGTCCCCGGCATGACGCATTGGGCCAGCCCTAACTTCTTCGCCTTCTTCCCCTCCACCAACAGCGCCGCTGCTATCGCTGGCGACCTCATCGCCTCCACCATGAACACCGTCGGGTTCACGTGGCAGGCCTCTCCGGCGGCCACCGAGATGGAGGTTCTCGCGCTCGACTGGCTTGCACAGCTCCTTCGCCTCCCCACCACCTTCATGAACCGCACCAGCACCGGTCGGGGCACCGGTGGTGGGGTCATCCTTGGCACCACGAGCGAAGCAATGCTCGTCACGCTAGTCGCCGCACGTGATGCCGCGCTGCGTCGGAGCGGCTCCGTTGGCGTGGCCGACCTGCCACGCTTGACTGTGTATGCTGCCGACCAGACCCACTCCACGTTCTTCAAGGCATGTCGGCTTGCAGGCTTTGATCCCGCCAACATTCGCTCCATCCCTACCGGGCCAGAAACCGACTACGGGCTTGACCCGGCCAACCTTCTCGAGATCATACAAGCTGACGCCGACGCCGGCCTCATGCCAACATATGTCTGTGCCACAGTGGGCACAACGTCTTCCAACGCCGTCGACCCGGTGGGCGCCGTCGCCGATGTTGCCGCCATGTTTAATGCCTGGGTCCATGTCGACGCTGCCTACGCTGGCAGTGCGTGCATCTGCCCGGAGTTCCGCCACCATCTCGATGGCGTCGAGCGCGTGGACTCCATAAGCATGAGCCCACACAAATGGCTTCTCACATGTCTCGATTGCACCTGTCTCTACGTCCGTGATGCTCACCGCCTCAGCGACTCGCTGGAGACCAACCCAGAGTACCTCAAGAACGATGCTACAGAGTCAGGCGAGGTCACCGATCTTAAGGACATGCAAGTCGGCGTCGGTCGGCGCTTCCGTGGGCTCAAGCTCTGGATGGTCATGCGCACCTATGGTACCGCAAAGCTCCAAGAGCATATCCGTAGCGACGTCGCCATGGCCAAGATGTTTGAAGATTTTGTTCGTGCCGACGACAGGTTCGAGGTGGTCGTACCAAGGAACTTTGCTCTTGTGTGCTTCAGGATCAAGGCGACTGGAGCCATGACGGAGGAGGATGCCGATGAGGCTAACCGTGTGCTAATGGAGAATCTGAACAAGACCGGTAAGGCTTATCTTGCACACACGGTGGTTGGTGATAGGTTCGTGCTTCGGTTCGCCGTGGGGTCGTCCCTGCAGGAGGAGAGGCATGTGAGGAGTGCCTGGGACCTCATCAAGAAGACTACTAGCAGTATCATGGATTAAGTGAATCATTCCAGAAGCCACACAAACCCCTATATTTGGGGTATAATTATTCTTTTGTGTTTATCTTTTTTTTGCTATGATTTGGATTATTATTACTTTGCACATTTGGTTCTTATTCCTTTTTGTGATCTATATCGGCTGAGGATATATGTATAGGAGGCCGGTACCAAAGAAATTGATTAGATTGTAGAATTTCTTATATTGCAAGAACATGAGATGTTATTCTTTGTATTGTACTCTGGTACAAATATATGGGAGTGACTTATAGTCAGGCGCCTGAATTTTTGTTTTGGGTCACTCACTTTCTTGTTAGACCGTGAGATTAATGCAACAAGTTCTTTCTAGGCTCCTCGCCAAAAAAAACAAGTTTTTTAGACAAACTCATGAAGCCTTTATTGATTTGTCACAATGTTTTATAAGGATGAAAGTAAGACCATCAGGTTAGCCTAACCAAACATGGCGTCGAGTCTCTAAAGTAAGAGCATGCTTCGTTAGCTTCTGAGTCTCGACATTTGAGGTCCTAAACTCCTGAACAAAATTACAACTAATAAAAAAACCACTTCACTAATGATAGCACCGTAACTTGCAACACTCCGCTGGTTATGTCATTTAAGACCACCTTACAAGTCGAAGGCTCGAAGCCACCTGAATCCTCTGGGTGTATAGATCATCGGCGAGAGACAACGCTTCCTTACCGCCAAAGCTTCAGGGGTTATTGGGTCAGAGATCTTTGACCCCATTATGGCCGAAGCTCCTAGAAACATCCAAAGGTCATCGCCGCACACTACCGGAACTGCTCCCGCGACACCATTCCTTGTCAAAGCCACATAAATGGTAACCTTGGTAATATTTTCTGGAGGGACCAACCAATGTTTTGGTATATTTCCCGTAAACCGGAGGCAAACTTGGGGCTTCACGGGAGTCTAGACCACCGCCACATAGGAAACTGACACCCCCGGCCTACTCAAATCCTCCTCCTTTTCCACTTTTCTACCACTCCGACCCTCCCCCTTGCTTTCATCCTCACCCTTCTCGTATGCTGCCGCCATTGTATTCTCCGGCCGCCACCTAGGAATCCACGGATGTCTGCAACCCCCACCCACATGCCTGCACATCTTGGACTACGCCACTGTCCACCCTGAAGGAAATATGCCCTAGAGGCAATAATTTATTTCCTTATTTCATGATAAATTTTTATTATTCATGCTAGAATTGTATTAACCGGAAACTTAGTACATGTGTGAATACATAGACAAAACATATTGTCTCTAGTATGCCTCTACTTGACTAGCTCGTTAATCAAAGATTGTTATGTTTCCTAACCATAGACATGTGTTGTCATTTGATGAACGGGATCACATCATTAGGAGAATGATGTGATGGTCATGACCCATCGGTTAGCTTAGCATTATGATCATTACATTTTAATTGCTACTGCTTTCTTCATGACTTATACATGTTCCTCAAACTATGAGATTATGCAACTCCCGAATACCGGAGGAACACCTTGTGTGCTATCAAACGTCACAACATAAAAGGGTGATTATAAAGATGCTCTACAGGTGTCTCTGAAGGTGTTTGTTGGGTTGGCATAGATCGAGATTAGGATCTGTCACTCCGTGTTTCGGAGAGGTATCTCTGGGCCCTCTCGGTAATGCTCATCACTATAAGCCTTGCAAGCATTGTGGCTAATGAGTTAGTTGCGGGATGAAGTATTAAGGAATGAGTAAATATACTTGCCGGTAACGAGATTGAACTAGGTATGATGATACCGACGATCGAATCTCGGGCAAGTAACATACCGATGACAAAGGGAACAACGTATGTTATTATGTGGTTTGACTGATAAAGATCTTCATAGAATATGTAGGAGCCAATACGAGCATCCAGGTTCCGCTATGGGTTATTGGCCAGAGATGTGTCTCGGTCATGTCTACATAGTTCTCGAATCCGTAGGGTCCGCACGCTTAACGTTCGATGACGATATGTATTATGAGTTATGTGTTTTTGATGACCGGAGTTTGTTTGGAGTCACGGATGAGATCATGGACATGACCGGAGTCTCGAAATGGTCGAGACATAAATATTAATATATTGGACCATGTTATTCAGATACCGAAAGAGTTCCAGGAAGTTTCGGATAAAACCGGAGTGCTAGAGGGGTTACCGGAACCCCCTAGGGGAACTAATGGGCCACCATGGGCCTTAGTGGAGAGAGAGGAGGGTAGCCACGGCAGGCCGCACGCCTCCCCCCCTTGGAGTCCGAATTGGACATGGGAAGGGGGCGCCGCCCCCCTTTCCTACTCCCTCTCCTTCTCCTTCCTTCCCCCTCTCTTCCTTGAAGTGGAATCCTACTAGGACTAGGAAGTCCTAGTAGGACTCCTCCTCTTGGGGCGCGCCCTAGGGGCCGGCTGGCCTCCCCCTTGCTCCTTTATATACGAGGGCAGGGGGCACCCTAGAACACACAAGTTTCTCTTAACCGTGTGCGGTGCCCCCCTCCAAGTTACACACCTCGATCATACCATCATAGTGCTTAGGCAAAGCCATGCGCCGGTAGCATCATCATCACCGTCATCATGCCGTCGTGCTGATGAAACTCACCCTCGTCCTGAACTAGATCAAGATCACGAGGGACGTCATCAAGCTAAACGTGTGCTGAACACGGAGGTGTCGTGCGTTCGGTACTTGATCGGTTAGATCGTGAAGAAGTTCGACTACATCAACCGTGTTATTGAAATGCTTCCGCTTTCGGTCTAAGAGGGTACATGGACACACTCTCCCCTCTTGTTGCTATGCATCACCTAGATAGATCTTGCGTGATCGTAGGATTTTTTTTTTGAAATTACCGCATTCCCCAACAGTGGCATTCGAGCCAGGTCTATGCGTAGATGTTATATGCACGAGTAGAATAGAAAGACTTGTGGGCGATAATAGTCATACTGCTTACCACCAACGTCTTACTTTGATTCGGCGGTATTGTTGGATGAAGCATCCCGGACCGACATTACATGGCCGCGTTCATGAGACTGGTTCTACCGACGTGCTTTTGCACATAGGTGGCTGGCGAGTGTCAATTTCTCAAAGTTTAGTTGAGTCGAGTTTGACTACGACCGGTCCTTGTTGAAGGTTAAAATAGCACACTTCACGAAAAATCGTTGTGGTTTTGATGCGTAGGTAAGAACGGTTCTTGCTAGAAGCCCATAGCAGCCACGTAAAATTTGCAACAACAAAGTAGATGACGTCTAACTTGTTTTTGCAGGGCTTGCTGTGATGTGATATGGTCAAGGTATGATGTGATATAAATTGTTGTATGAGATGAGCATGTTTTGTAACAAAGTTATCGGCAACTGGCAGGAGCCATATGGTTGTCGCTTTATTGTATGTGATGCAATCGCCATGTAATTGTTTTACTTTATCACTAAGCAGTAGTGATAGTTGTAGTAACAATAGTTGGTGAGACGATAACGATGATACGATGGAGATCAAGGTGTCGCGCCGGTGTCGATGGAGATCATGACGATGCTTCGATGATGGAGATCATGAGCACAAGACGATGATGGCCATATCATGTCACATATTTTGATTGCATGTGATGTTTATCTTTTATGCATCTTATTTTTCTTAGTACGGCGGTAGCATTATAAGATGATCCCTTACTAAATTTCAAGGTATCAGTGTTCTTCCTGAGTATGCATCGTTGCTACAATTTGTCGTGCCGAGACACCACGTGATGATCGGGTGTGATAAGCTCTATGTTCACATACAACGGGTGCAAGCCAGTTTTGCACACGCAGAACACTCGGGTTAAACTTGACGAGCCTAGCATATGCAGATATGGCCTCGGAACATTGAGACCGAGAGGTCGAACGTGAATCATATAGTAGATATGATCAACATAGTGATGTTCACCATTGAAAGCTACTCCATCTCATGTGATGATCGGACATGGTTTAGTTGATTTGGATCACGTGATCATTTAGATTACTAGAGGGATGTCTATCTAAGTGGGACTTCTTAAGTAATATGATTAATTGAACTTTAATTTATCATGAACTTAGTCCTGATAGTTATTTTGTATCTCTATGTTATTGTAGATCAATGGCCCGTGCTACCGTTCCTTTGAATTTTAATTCGTTCCTAGAGAAAGCTAAGTTGAAAGATAATGGCAGCAACTACACGAACTGGATCCGTAACTTGAGGATTATCCTCATTGCTGCACAGAAGAATTACGTCTTGGAAGCACCGTTAGGTGTACCACCCGCTCCAGCAACTGCAGACATTATGAATGTCTGGCAGACGCGTGTTGATGACTACTCAATAGTTCAGTGTGACATGCTCTATGGCTTAGAACCGATACTTCAAAGACATTTTGAACGTCATGGAGCATATGAGATGTTCCAAGAGTTGAAGTTAATATTTCAAACAAATGCCCGAGTTGAGAGATATGAAGTCTCCAACAAATTCTACAGCTGCAAAATGGAGGAGAATAGTTCTGTCATTGAACACATACTCCGAATGTCTGGGTACCATAACCACTTGACTCAGCTGGGAGTTAATTTTCCTAATGATAGTGTCATTGATAGAGTTCTTTAATCACTGCCACCAAGCTATAAAGGCTTCATGATGAACTATAATATGCAAGGGATGAACAAGACTATTCTCGAGCTCTTCGCGATGCTAAAAGTTGTGGAGGTAGAAATCAAGAAGGAGCATCAAGTGTTGATGGTCAACAAGACCACTAGCTTCAAGAAAAACGGCAAAGGGAAGAAGGGGGGCTTCAAGAAGAACGGCAAGAAAGTTACTGCTCAGGGGAAGAAACCCAAGTCTGGACCTAAGCCTGAAACTGGGTGCTTCTACTGCAAAGGAACTGGACACTAGAAGCGGAACTGCCTCAAGTATTTAGCGGATAAGAAGGGTAGAAAAGTGATAGGTATATTTGATATACATGTTATTGATGTGTACCTTACTAATGCTCGTAGTTGTGCCTGGGTATTTGATAC